AACTAATGAAGTGGGTCTCCTTACAGAGACTGAGGAACTGCAGTGACGTCCCTGCTCAGTCTCAGGTGCCCAGGACAGAGGCAGCTCCCTGGGATCCAGGCCTGTTCCAGCCTGGATGGGGCTGCTGGGGAGTGTGAGAAATGGTCCCAGCCTCCCCCAGGGCCGAGCTCTGCCCCTAACGCTCCGATTCTCTCTCTCTCCAGCGAATGTGACTCTGGATCCAGACACGGCTCATCCTGAACTCGTCCTGTCTGAGGATGGGAAAAGTGTGAGATGGGAAGACACAGAGCAGGATCTGCCTGATACCTCCGAAAGATTTGACACTGAGCCCTGTGTGCTGGGCTGTGAGGGATTCACCTCAGGGAGACATTGCTGGGAGGTGGAGGTGAAGGGTGAGGGAGGCTGGGCTGTGGGGGTGGCCAGAGAGTCTGTGGGGAGGAAGGGAGAGATCAGCTGTAGCCCTGAGTGGGGGATCTGGGCTGTGGAGTGCTGGTGGGGTCAGTTCCAGGCTCTCACCTCCCCTCTGACCCCCCTGCCCCAGCGCCGGGTCCCCAGCAGGATCCGGGTTTGTCTGGACTGTGACCGGGGGCAGGTGACATTTATCGATGCTGGTGACGAGGCCCCGATCTTCACTTTCCCGCCAGGCTCCATCCCTGGGGAGAGAATCCGACCCTGGCTCTGGGTGGGGGATATAGAAACCCGGCTCAGCCTGTGTCCCTGAGACACACAGCAGAGGGGGGAACTGGAAATCAGCCTCTCTAGCCTCATGGACCCCAGACTCTATGACCTTGGAGGACTCTCATCTACCCAGCCCTTGGCTCCTCATCTCTATGACGTGTGGAAGCCCCTCCCCTTCCCTGCAGCCCCAGGGATTGGGGGGTGGGAAGAACCCCTGGGGATGCAGGAGGAGCAGAGGGGCCCTGAGGGGCAGGGGTTGGGGCTGGGCAGGGGGCAGGCAGAGGTGGGGGTGGCAGGGACCCAGCGTGAATCAATCAGGGTTGGGGGGTTGCGGAGAAGCAGCAGCAGGGTGCGTTTTGTACAGATCTTTGGGATTAGATCTCATGGGGTCTCTCAGCCAGAGCTCCTGCAGAAGG